TAACTATTGCTCGTCAAGCTCACTCTGCTGTTCTTATAATAATAAAGAGGAAATAGGGCTGGGCATGGTGGCCTATAATCCCAGCACGCTGGAAGGCCAAGGCAGGTGGATCACCTGAGCTAATGAGTTAGAGACCAGCCTGAGTCAGAGTGGGACCCTGCCTCTAAAAATAGCCAGGTGAGCCGGCGTGGTGGCTCAGGCTGTAATACCAGCACTTTGGGAGGCCGAAATGGGTGAACTGCTTGAGCTCAAAAGTTTGAGACAACCTGGAGCAAGAGCTAGACCCTGTCTCTAAAAATAGCCAGGCGTTGTGGCGGGTGCCTACAGGTATTCTCTGGTCTCAGCCTCCGGAGTAGTCCCAGCTACTCTGGAGACTGAGACCAGAGAATCGCTTGAGCCTAGGAATTTGAGGTTGCTGTGAGCTGTGATGCCATGGCACTCTATCGCCTTGGCAACATAGTGAGACTCTATCCCCCCCTCAAAAAAAAGAAAGAAAAAGGAAATGATTTTTCTTTTTTTTTTTTGAGACAGAGCCTCAAGCTGTCTCCTTGGGTAGAGTGTCGTGGCATTACAGCTCACAGCAACCTCCAACTCCTGGGCTCAAGCGAGTCTCCTGCCTCCGCCTCCCAAGTAGCTGGGACCACAGGTGCCCGCCACAACGCCCGGCTATTTTTTGGTTGCAGCCGTCATTGTTGTTTTGGCAGGTCCAGGCTGGGGATTCGAACCCGCCACCTTAGGTGTACGTGGCTGGCGCCTTAGCCAGTTGAGCTATAGGCGCCGAGCCAGGAAATGATTTTTCAGCACCCACATTTTCATTTAAAAAAGTGAGAGAATTAAAGATATCTGAAGATGACAGTGTGTTTGATGAAAAATGGGGGAAAGTCGTATTTCTTTATGAAAGTAAAAAAAATCTAATTTTTAAAATATGCAAAGAGTACCTGAGTCATAATAACATAAATCCATTCATTTACATCACCTGCCTGACCTGTTGCCCCACCCATGATGTCTTCTGATCTCCACCCTTCTCTACTTGTGGACACTGTATGCAGCCCAAGTCTGTGCTTCTATCATTCTTCTCATTTCACAAAGAGGGAAACAGAGGCCCCAAAAAGTTAAATGTTTAAGGCCACCCCAGAGTAGCTGGGAAGCAGCAATATGGAACAGGAAATTGAGTTTGTTCCATGCCTCTTTGGTCTTTCTTTAATGGAACCAGTCAGTCTTACTTAGCTCTTCTCTTACCTTATAATTAATGGTTGAAATGCATGAAGTTCTGAACTTAGGAACACGAGTCCCCAAGTACTCTTTATTTATCCATTTATTTGAGGCAGAGTCTCATTCTGTCACCCTGGGTAGAGTGCTGTGGCATCATAGCTCACAGCGACCTCAAACTCTTGGGCTCAAGTGATCCTTTTGCCTCAGTTTTTCTATTTTTAGTAGAGGGGGGTCTCACTCTTCATCAGGCTGGCTTCGAACCCATGAGCTCAGGCAATCCACCCACACTGGCCTCCCAGAGTGCTAGGATTATAGGTGTGAGCCACTGCGCCCAGCCCTAAGTACTCTTTAAAGAGGCAGAAAATGTATCTTATTGAGTGTAGGACCACATGTAATTTAGCACAATGCTGGCCACATAGTAAATACTCCTTAAATATTAATATTGTTGTAGTTCTCATTTTAATAGTCTAACACTATGCTTTTCCAATTTTTAGCTTTCTTTTCTTTCTTTTTTTTTTTTGCAGTTTTTGGCCAGGGCCAGGTTTGAACCCACCACCTCTGGTATATGGGGCTGGCGCCCTATTCCTTTGAGCCACAGGTGCTGCCCAACTTTTAGCTTTCTTTCTTTCTTTTTTTTTTTTTTTTGAGACAGAGCCTCAAGTTGTCCCCCTGGGTAGAGTGCTGTTGCATCACAGCTCACAGCAACCTCCAACTCCTGGGCTTAAATGAGTCCCCTGCCTCCACCTCTCAAATAGCTGGGACCACAGGCACCCGCCACAACGCCTGGCTATTTTTTTTTTTTTTTTGGTTGCAGCCATCATTGTTGTTTGGCAGCCTGGGCTGGATTCAAACCCACCACCTTAGGTGTATGTGGCTGGTGCCTTAGCCACTTGAGCCACAGGCGCTGAGCCTTTTTTTCATTTTTTGAGACAGTCTCACTCTGTCATTAAGCTAGAGCAGTGGTTCTCAACCTGTGGGTAGAGACCCACAGGAACTGTATAAAGGGTTGCGGCATTAGGATGATTGAGAATCACTGAGCTAGAGGGTCTTAGCATCAGCCTAGTTCACAGCAACCTCCAATTTCTAGGTTCAATTCAGCCCCTCTTGCCTCAGGCTCCCAAGTAGCTGGTACTACAAGCATGACAATGCCTGGCTAATTTTTCTATTTTTTTTTTAGAGACAGAGTCTCACCCTGTCGCCCTTGGTAGAAACCTCACAGAAACCTCCCACTCCTGGACTTAGGCGATTCTCCTGTCTCAGCTTCCAGAGTAGCTGGGACTACAGGTGTCCACCACAACGCCCGGCTATTTTTTGTTTGCAGTTTGGCCAGGGCCGGGTTCAAACCTGCCACCGTGGTATATGGGGCCCATGCCCCACCCACTAAGCCATAGGCGCTGCCCTAATTTTTCTAATTTAGTAGTGACAGGGTCTGGGTCTTGCTCTTGCTTAGGCTGGTCTCAAATTCCTGAGCTCAAGGGATCCTCCCACTTCTGTCTCCCAGAGTGTAAGGATTACAGGTGTGAGCCTCTGTGCCTGGCCTTAGCTTACTTTCTTTCTTTTTTTCTGTAGCAACACGGTTTCCTTTTGCTGCTTAGGCTGGAGTACAGTGGCCCCATCATAGGTCACTGTAACCTCCAGTTCTTGGGCTCAAGAGATTCACCCACCTCTGACTCCCCAGTAGTTGAGACTATAGGCACATATTACTACACCCAGATAACTAAAAAAAAATTTTTTTTTTAGAGATGGAGTCTTGAGGCTGGGCGTGGTGGCTCATGCCTGTAATCCTAGCACTCTGGGAGGCCAAGGCGTGTGGATTGTTTGAGCTCAGGAGTTCCAGACCAGCCTGAGCAAGAGTGAGAGCCTGCGTCTACTAAAAATAGAAAAACTATGGCTCGGCACCTGTGGCTCAAGTGGCTAAGGCGCCAGCCACATACACCTGAGCTGGTGGGTTCGAATCCAGCCCAGGCCCACCAAAGAACAATGACGGCTACAACCAAAAAATAGCCAGGCGTTGTGACGGGCGCCTGTAATCCCAGCTACTTGGGAGGTGGAGGCAGGAGCCTCGCTTGAGCCCAGGAGTTGGAGGTTGCTCTGAGCTGTGATGCCATGGCACTTTACCCAGGGTGACAGCTTGAGGCTCTGTCTCAAAAAAAAAAAAAAAAGAGAGAGAGATGGAGTCTTGGTATATTGCCCAGCCTGCTCTTGAACACTTGGCCCTAAGGTATCCTCTTGCCTCAGTTTCTCACAGCTCTGGGATTACACATGTGAGCCACTATGTCCATTTTCAGCTTCCAGTAGTAACCAGTTGATGATCTAGCGTAGTGGTTCTCAAGAGGAGAGTAGGGTGTGCCCCCCTCACATTTGTCAAAGTCTGAAGACAATTTGGTTGTAACATCTGGAGTGGGCGTGCTACTAGCATCTAAGGGGTAGAGACCAAGGGTTCTGCTAAACATCCTTCAATGTACAAGACAGCCCCCCTACAAATATGACCTACCCCAAATATTATTAGCTTCTAGGTTGAGAAATCCTGCCCTTTTATAGTGGGATAATTTCATTTCCTCCTGTTTAAGGAGAATCCTCAGTGACCCTGGGTGAATGCGTCAGGGACCTACGCTTTGGAGTCAGAGAGCTTTAGGTTTTGCCACTTTGTTACAGTGCCTCTGGTGCACAGTAAGCATTCAAAATTACTGGTTGTGGCTCAGTGCCTGTGGCTCAAGTGGCTAAGGCGCCAGCCACATACACCTAAGGTGGTGGGTTTGAATCCAGCCTG